CTTCCCACAGGTCAGCTTTACGCCCTTTGTTGTGGCCACGTGTCCATCCATGTTGTTGAGGGTCTTCCTCCCCGCTCCCCCACCCCACACATAGACATGTCAGATGACTTGGGGCAACACAAGACTCTAGATCACTGGGAGGGAAAGGGGCACCAGAAAGGATAATCACCAGAAGTGAGGAGAGCCAGGCAGACTATCCCTGACCTCTCCCAGCTGCAGCAGGGAGGAACTTCACGGGGCAGAGATCAGACATGCCTCCATCCTTCTTTATTCTAACACCACCTTCTTTATTCTTCCCACAGCCTTCGCCTACCAAACTCAGTAATACCGGGCTCAATAATCTATTGTAGTGGCTACACAGGACCCACGGACAACCTTCACAATTATGAGAGTTTATTAGGGGAATCAACAACAGGTCAGGGTCAGAAAACATTCGGGATATGTTTCTCTTTATCCACAGCAGCATCTCTACTCAGACAACAGCCATGCCCCTCTCTGGTCCTCCACCTGTCTGTCAGCATGCGAACTCCTAGCTTCTTCCGAGTTCGATTGTCTCTGACTTCATGGTCTTGGCTCTGTTCCTCTGCTCTTTGTAATGATCTCAGTGTGACACATCCTCTGGTTACACCGGCTGCCTTTGCCATTTCAGACAGGGACCTTAAACTTCCTTCCCTGGTGGGTCTTCATGCTAGACCAGCGGTTCTCAACCTGTGGGTCATGACCCCTTTGGGGGTCGAATGACCCTTTTACAGGGTTCGCCCGATTCATAACAGCAGCAAAATGACAGTGATGAAGTAGCAACGAAAATAATTTTATGGTTGCGGGGTCACCCCAACATGAGGAACTGTATGAAAGGGTCGTGGTATCAGGAAGGTTGAGAACCACTGTTCTAGATGATTGTGGGAGTCTCTGTACCTGCTTCTGAGATGTCTCTTTTATATTCAGAGGAAAGGCGAAACCAACCAGCCCCCAAGTTAGAGTCCTCTGCACTTGATCTGTGTGTGCCTGGTGAGAGGCAGGAGACTGGATAGAAGAGCCATGCCAAGTAATTTCCCTTCACATAGTTACACGTTAGTCGTCACAATTTGTTAACAATGATATGGTCTCAGGTAGGTGATTTTTTAAAAAAGGAGCACAGTTCTTCTGGGTGATAGGCATTGTTTTTAAGCCAGTTTGTTATTTAGCTACCCGGTGACCTCAGGGATTAGTTTTGGGTGAAGGTTTGTAGAATATCTCTTGGGGATTACTCTAGAAACCAGTCCAGCAGGTTTTTATTTCCCTTAAGTTTTTCTCTTGTTTTATATGTTTTAGAAACTTAAGGTTCTTTCTCCTTATTTCTCTCATTCTACCAGGGTCCATCTATAGAGCCCCCAATTAGAGCGGTCTGCAGTTGCAGCAGGGTAAGGTCTAGTCCAGGGGTCCTCAAACTACTGCCCGCGGGCCACATGCGACCCGCTGAGGACATTTATCCAGCCCATCGGGTGTTTTTGCCCCATTTGGTTTTTTTAACTTCAAAATAAGATATGTGCAGTGAGCATAGGAATTTGTTCATAGTTTGCTTTTTTTAAACTATAGCCCGGCCCCTCAACGGGTCTGAGGGACAGTGAACTGGCCCCCTGTTTAAAAAGTTTGAGAACCCCTGATCTAGTTCTTCTGATCTCAGGGTACATGAGACGTCATTAGACGATTTTCAAATATTTACAGATCACATGAAAGACGTCATTTCTCAAAAAGCAAAGGAATTTTGCCACAATATTATTCCACTGTTGTTCGCTGCTGCTGCAGGACAATAGCTGGCATGTTGAGTCTGGTGTGGCAGCTGTCATGCAATGCCTTCCGATTTAGATGGTTCATCTTACAGCACTCTGCAGGACAGTATTCTGTTGTGATCCAGAAGGGTTGGGCTTTCTTTGATCTATAAGGTCTTCTTCGGCTCATTCTTGGAAGTAGATCACCAGGCCTTTCTTCCTTGTTTGACCGAGGATGGAAGCACCAATGAAACCTGCCCATCAGAGGTGACCCTGCTGGTATTTGATAATTACCAGCATCATAGCCTTATGAAAGCCTTCACAGTATGACACCGCACTAATTAGAAGTACTAATTACTCATTTTCATAAACCAACCAAGAGATTGGCTGTTTATGTGCTTCGTAAGGCACACCAGGAATCTAATTTGCTCTTGCCCGTTTCCTCTGAGGAACGCATGACAGTTCTTATGGCCTCATGACATTAACCTGCTGTGGCGAAATCTCCGGTGAAATGAAAGTAGACTTCTGTGGAGAGTCCTGTTAGCAGTCAGAGCTGGTCTCATTAACAAATAAGCGATAGAGGAGTCCCCTGGGGTCATTGGTGGAAGAGAAGGCCAACAATGCCCAATATGCCATCAACTGTCTGCATTAGTCTAAAAGACGGAAAGGCCACCACTGTAGAGAGATGTGGTCATACACTCAGTTAATTTCAGACGTCATACTTAGTGGTGAAAAAGCGGAATATTTTCTCAAGATCAGGAACAGACAGGGGTGTACATTAACTTTACAGTACATTAATTGTGCTGTTGTTCCTAGCTCACACAATGAGAAAGAAAAAGGTGGGGAGGGAGGAGGCATTCAGATTGTAAAAGAAGAAGCAAAATGGTCTACTTGCAGACATCACGGACAGTTAGATGGAATATTCTGCATAACATTAAAAAATAAATCTAGAACTAGTAAGTGAATTTAGCATTGCCAAAGGGTACTATGCCAATATGTAAAAATAGATTGTATTCTTATAGACTAGTAATGGACAATGGCAATTTAAAAAACACGCACATTTACAATAGCATGAAAAAACAAGAACTTCGTAGGGTGGTGGAAATGTTCTATATCTTGAATGTGGTGGTCATTGCAGATGCCTTGTTAAAATGCAAAGACTTGTATACTTAAAACTAGAGAAATTTAATGTATACAAATTATACCTCATCGAAAAGAGGGCACATTTTTCATGTAGCAGATTCTAGGTGCTGAGGCTACCAAACCAAAATCAAATTCAGTGCCACCAAGCCAAAGTTGACTTATAGTGACCCACTAGGACAGAATAGAATGGCATGTTTTTCCTGGAGCAGCTGGGGGTTTGAACTGCTGACCTTGGGGTTAGCAGTCCAACTCATAACACTCCCAGGGCTCCTGCTGAGGGTACAGGAGGGACCAAAACAAACTGTTTCCACTGGAGTTGATTGTCTCCTTGCAATGAGATAGAGACAGCAGAAAGATGATCTCAAAGACTAGTGCAGCCACCCAGGCGCCCCACGATGGTGGCTTCCAGAGGTGTGAGATTTTCAATCTGTTCCTTAGACACAGACAGCCCAAACCTCATTGCCATCCAGTAGATTCAACTCCTCGCAACCCTACAGGACACATTAGAACTGCTCTATAGGGTTTCCAAGGCTGTCATTTTTACAGAAGCCCACAGCCACAGCTTGCTCTTGAGGTATGCTGGTGGATTGAACTGTCAACCTTTTGGTGTTCCCCAAAACTTAAATACTGGTGCTTCAAACCCAATCGGCCAAGCTGAGGAAGAAAGGCCTGACTGTCTGATTTCTGAGAATATGAAATCTACTGTTGTTAGCGGCGCTAGAAGACAAAGTAGCATTGGCCCATACTGTTTCCAAGGCGGTCAGTCTTTCTCCTGCTGGTGATGGGTTCAAACTGTGGACCTTACATTTACCAGCCAAGCACTAAAAGCACGGCCTCACCAAAGCCTATACAGCAGTTCTACTCGGTATGTAACACGTGGCGCCATCGTGAGTTGGAATGGAATCTGAGGCACTGTGCTAGAATTCTTGATGTAAGGGTTTTTGGGGTCGCGAAACGGAATTAAAGATCCAATTGGTAAAGTTTTAGAAGCAGGCTTTATTGAGAAGCTTGCGGGCGGGTTCACTAACTCAGGTATTGAGCTTATTGAGCTAATGAAACCACGCGAGGGGAATTTCTGGCTGCGTTTTTATATCCCCTGGTGGCAGGCACAGCTGCACACAGGGACTTCAAAGGGAAGCGCTCATTAATTTTATCTATAGGTCTGGGATGGGTGGAATAAACACATCTTCAAGGGATGCAGGGAAGTGGTCATTAATCTTATCTATAGGTACCGGGCGGGTTCAGTAAACATATCTTCAAAGAACATTCTTTCTCGGGGATGTCTGGTTCTCAGAACTGGTGATTTTCAGCGAGGGGAGGGGAGGCCGATGTGTGGGAGGCCCATGAGAGGTGAGTTCTGAGAACCAAGAAGGTGCCGGATTCAAGATGGAGTCCCTTGTGCCAAGACCAGGCACTTGATTATTAGACAATTCGGAGGCACTGTGTTAGAATTTTTGATGATTAGACATCCATGCACAGGAGGGCAGTTGGATAGTTGGGACCACTTCGCGGCTTAGTGTGTGTATGCCAGCGAGCGTGTTTTTCACCAGTCTGGAGCTCGAGCACAAGATGAGGCTTTCCACCCGTGTGAAGCCCACAAGGGCATTGCTAATCTGTCCTATAGGGTCACTAAGGGTCAGAATTGGCTCCAAGGCAGTGAGTTTGTTTGTTTCTTTTAGTTCTATGCCTAATGCCAAGTCTGGTGACTGGTCCTACTGCGACTTGCTTGCTAGTTGGGCACTTTTTCTTTCTTTTTTTTTTTTTTCACTTTTTCTTTTTTAAAAAATCATATTTATTTTAAAATAATTTCATTGGCATATACTTCAGATGTTGTACACGTTAATCGTTCCATCGTGTTGAGCAGAGGGACATTTTTCGAGATGGCGGCAGAGCAATGATCTGGAGAAGCCCTAGAACATGGATTTGAGCTTCTCTTCTTGGCGTAATTGCTAGATTATTTGATAGTGTCCCAGGATGCAGGTTGCCTTGATCCTGAAGAGAGAGGAAGGATGTGTGCCCACATAGGCCAATATAATTGTTCACAAAAGTAAACGTTTCATTTACATTTTGACCCAGTTTCACCACTTATAGGGTAAGTGGAAAAGAAGGATGGTGGTGAAGAATTCACAGAGGAGACAACGGGATTTTCTGACTCAAGCCAAGCCAAAATCCGGTTTAAACATCTCAATCCCTTTGAGGATGTCCAGTTACATATTCAAGAGACCAGTCACTAGAATTACTTCCCAACCTGGCAACGAAGTCAGGTGCCATCAGTGGGAGGAGAACTTGGAAAAGCCTCAGCAGGTTTGTTGGCAGAAGAGGCTCCAGGGACTCCAGGTCTACAGCAGCACAGGGGAACTTTTCAGTACTTTGGGTCTTGCCAAAGCGCTGCAAAAAATTACACCGAGTTCCACAGGTGATTCCCTGCCCCCGGGATTTGCTTGTGATCTGCCCTCTGTCTCCGTAAATACTCCTAGCCCATCTTCAGATTTGGAAAGGATGACCCCAGGATCCAGTTTTGATATCTGACAGCTCCTCTGCAAACCATTTCTGGTAACCGATGAAGATATTAGGACACAGGAAAGAACAGTGCGGACGGCAAGGGAGAGATTGGCAGTAGCACTGATTGCAGACAGGCTTGCTAGTGAGGCAGAGAAAGTAAGGGGCCAAGAAGGATGTCCTGAAAAATATTAAGAGAAGATAGTACAACAAAATGGAGATTGGTACTTTATCAGTATTGTTGGAGTATCCACAATGTTATATATTTTTTGCTTTGTTCTCTCAAAATTTTAAAGTATACCATCGCTCTGTGTCTCAGTTTCTTAGTGCTTATTGTTAGGTGCACTGAGTCCATTCTGACCCACAGCGACCCTAGACACAACAGAGCGGTCCTGCGCCATCCTCACAATTGTTCCATAGCTGCGAACACAATGTCAATCCATCTCCTTCATTGCCTTCCTCTTTTTCACTACCTCTCTACTTTACCAAACATGATGGCCTTCTCCAGAGACTGGTCTCTCCTGACAGCACATCCAAAGTATGTAAGACAAAATCTGGCCATCATTGCCTCTAAGTAAGGCCAGAGAGCCTTGCTTCTCTGGCCTTACTTCTTCCAAGATATATAGGTTTGTCGTTTTAGCAATTCATATCCTTCTCCAGCACCACAATTCAAATGCATTGTTTCTTCTTCAGTCTTTTTTATTCAATGTCCAATTTTCACATACATATGCAGAAATTGAAAGGACAATGGTTTGGGTCAGACATACCTTAGTCCTCAAAGTAGCATCCTTGCTTTTTAATACTCTAAAGAGGTCATGTGCCACATATCTATTAACTGCTGCTTCCATAAGCATGGATTGAGGATCCAAGCAAGAAAAAAAAAATCTTTGACAACTTCAGCTTTTTCTCCATTTATCGTTGGTCCAGTTGTGAGAATTTGGGTCTTCTTTACATGGAGTTGTAATCCATACTGAAGGCTCCAATATTTGATCTTCATCAGCTTCAAGTTCTCCTCACTTTCAGCAAGTAACGTGTGTTATTTACATATCACAAGTTGTTAATAAGCCTTTCTCCACACCTGATGCCACATTCTTCATATAATGGGCACTTTTTTTATAACGTCCCATGGCCCAAAAAGACACCATAAAAGCTTATAGGCCCCGAACGGATGAAGACCCATCTTGACTCTGTAGCCTGCTTTACACCCAAACCCTGTTACAGGCCCCAGCTGGGGCAAGAGCTTCAGCGCTAGCCCAGCCGGGTCGAGTTGGGCGTCGCGTCTGTCAATCATCCGAAGACCGAGTGACGATTGGTGGAGGGCCAGTCGGGGGTGGGGAAAGCTGGAGCTCCGACCCACGGCAAGTTGGGAGCCGGTTTCCTGCGGCGGCTGCGGCTCCGGGTCGGAGCGAACCCGGAAGAAACGGCCAATGGTCGTGCTTCGACGCTTGGGTGGCTTTGCAACCCGCGCTGCCCTCTGGGTCCCGGCCTGCAGGCTAGGTAAGATCGGTGTAGGCCCTACCGGGGAGAAGGACCCGGCATCGCTCTGACCGCGGATAATCACTCGGGTCGGAGCCTGGATGATGGCCACCCGCGGGGCCATGACAGTGCTGCTCTTCTCCGCGCTCGCGCTCTCCTGGCTGCCCTTGCGCGCAGGTACGCTGCACCTCGGGGCCGCTCCTCCCCAGCGGGAGGGAACCGGGTGGCCTGTGCCCCATTTCCTTGCGGGCGACACTGGCAATGGAGCTGCCCGCGTGCTAGGGTCGGGGATCGTCGGGGAGACGCGCCCCGGAGACTGGCCGAGAACGTGCTGAGCCGTGCGCCGCCGTGAAGAGCGGCCTGCGGGTGGTGCGCTGGGGGCGCCGCTGGAGGAGGGCCGGGCGCCCCGGGAGCGCCCCCCACCGCCCCGCGGTCTCTGTGCGCGATCCGGCCGAAGGCCGAGCGGGTGGCCGGCCGGCCTGGGCGCGCGGCGGCCTCAGCCCGCTGCCCGGCGTTCCCCGCATGGTGCAGCCCCAGCGAGACTGGGGGAGGCGGCGCCTCTGCCTGTCACCCGAGCAGAGGCGGGGACGTCCGTGCGTGAGTGGCACCGAAAGGCGGAGGGAGGCGGCGGGGAAGGGGAGCCGGACGCGTTGGGAAGGGTCGCGAGTGCAGCGCAGGGGACGCGCGCGGGGAGGCGTCCCCGGGGCGCGGGGCGCGGGGCTGGGGAGCCGGGGAGGGCACGTTCGGGGGACCGCAGGCTTGGATCGCCGCGGGCCGCACCAGGAACTGAGCCCAGATTGGCGCGGGCTTGGCCGCTGGAGGGTTGGGGTCCGGGCGACCGGGTCCGCGCTAGTGACTGAGCCGCTGCAGCAGCGCCTGGGGTGAGCGGGCCCCGGGGCCGTGGGAGCGCAGCGTCGGGGCCTGGGGCCCGGGTCTTCGCGGGGTCCCCTCGCCCCACTGGATTTGCATGTGAATGGGGACCCTGGGCGCTGCTCCACCACCCCGTTTAAAGTTTGTTTCCGCGGTGGCGTGCGGGGCTCCGGTTTTCCAGTCTATGCAAGAAATGTGAAGCTCCGTCCGGGTGCGTGTCCCCCGGCTCCTGGTGGTGTCAATCCGGAGCTGGCCTCCGTCCGGTGGGCTGCCCGGCGAGCGGTGGGCGCTGGGTCTGGCTTCTCCTCTCCCTGCCTTTGCCGGGCTGGCGGTCCCTCCCTCCGTTCCTACATGCGCTGGAATGATGATTGCCAACACCCGCGGCTTCCTGTGGTCCGACCTGGAGACCCAAGCCCTCCTGGGTATCTGGGGCGAAGCGGACGTGCAGTCCGCACTGGACGGGAACTTTCGGAACAGCCATGTGTACCGGGACGTGGCCTGCCGGCTGGCCCAGGTGGGCTTCGACCGGACCCCGGAGCAGTGCCGCATCCGCATCAAGGGCTTGAAGCGCCAGTACTACCAGGCGAAGGACGGGCTGCCCAAGGGCGGGCCTGCGCGCAAGGCCTGCAAGTTCTTCGACGAGATGGACAGCATCCTGGGCGCCCGCGCTGCCGCCGGTGGCCCCGCGCCCCCTCGGGCAGGCCCCGCTCCGGAAGAGGAGACGAGCCGGGAGCAGGCAGCGGAGAAGGCCTTGACCGGCGAGGGTTCTTCCTTCACCGGGCATCCAGTCAAGGTGGAGTGTGCCCCCTTCGCCATCCCGGTGCCGCCTGGCCACGGTGAGTACAGCCCTGGGCCAGGGCGTGGGGGAGTCGGGGTCCTTGGAGAGGGTTATCCCCAAAGATCCCAGGGAGGGTTAATCAAGCACCCCACCCCCCTGCCTCAGACCTTCATCTCCCACTAGGCGGTTGGACTGCAGAATTCCTTAGTCAGTCAGCCCCTGAACTCAGGCTTTGCAAATGGGACAAACTGTAGAAAAGAATTGAGGCATGAACTGAAAAGGCAAATTCTAATGGTTTGGGCCACAACACCTCCTAGGATTTCCTTTCCCCCCTCTACCAGTTGAACATGAATTCATCTTTTATGCAGCTAAGGGCTTAGAGATTGGTTCATCTCATTTCTCCCAACGAGGTGGGGCGATGGTTAGTATCTACCTTTGTAGAGAAAACAGACAAGCGGAGAAAAGAAGTCATTCACCCCAGTGGTTCCACAGCCTTTTAGAGTTCGTGGCCCAAAGGATCAGATGCCCTCCTGTGCCACTGTAAAAAGGAAAGTTGTAGCCCAGGTTAGAGTGACTTTTACAGCATACACATGCTAGTTAGAGAGTAATTGTTAAGGCTTTTTAACCTTTTGGGTTTTTTCCGTGCACCAATTCCAAATGCTGGTTTCTCCTTGGGACATGATTGCCCTAGCAAACAGAAAGGTTTCTGAGCACCACTGAGCAGCCCCTAACCTAGGGGTTTTTTTGGTGTGTGTGTGTGTGTGTGTGTGTGTGTAGATGGGGCAACTTTCTGTCTTAAATTCACACAGTCATGGTTGATTAGCACGGGTTCTTTGTGCTTCTTTGAGGTTTCATTATAAGACTGACTTGCTAATAAGCTTTCACCAAAAAGTAAAGTTCTAGATCATGAATTGTCCCTCCCTCTTAAGTTTGAGGGGATATCTTGTTTAGCCCGAAGGCTTCTGTGAAGTGCTAAATAATTATAAATTCACATTCACTCCAGGTGCTTTTGGCACGGAGAAATAGCAAGGACAACACCAGAAGCAGTTATTGACAGTAATTCTAGAAAGCAGCCTAGCCTAAGAAATCCCCTTAATTCTCTAGCCCTCCTCAGCCAGACTTCTGTAAAACAAACACAAACCAGACAGACTCGACCTGTTTTTCCAGACTCACAATTGTTCTAAAGACAAAGTTACTTATAGGACAAGTCAGCCTTTGTCAGGCCCTTTTTCTCCTCCTGTGGCACATCAATGTTTATGTTTGAATTCTTCTCCAGCCCTGCAGTGCATTTGTGAAGGATTGAACTTTTCTTTTGATGGGTGTGGTGAGTTCTTAGTTTGGCTGAAAAATTATTTCCTGGGCCTTGGTAAAAGAGTGTCTTCAGGTTTGTCTCCTACAATGGTTCAAACGATTCCATACTGTATCTGTTATTTAAGTCCCTGGATATTATTCTAATAAAGTTGAAGAGAAGGGAAAGCGATGCTGTGTGTACCTGCTGTCATTTGAGTTACAACAAAAATCATTATTTGCTTTAACACTTGTAGGCTTTAAGCATATCGGTGCTCAGACCAGCACACCTCATCTCTCTCAACCAAAAAGACCCAAAAAGCGCCACACCAGTATACCTCTGGACAAGATGATGGGGAAGCTTTTACAGCAAAGTGTGGATGCGGAAGAGAAGTTCTTCCGGTACGAAGAGCAGAGGCTGAAAATGGAGGACAAGCACCGAGAGACGGAGCGAGCCCGAGAGCTGCAGATGCTGCAGATGTTGGGGCAAGTGTTGGCTGGGATTTCCTCCGCTGTCTCCCAGAGGGCGCAGCCCAGGCCTGCCAGCCCACCACAGCAGCGGACACACCACCGGGCGTACGGAGATGACATTACTTTTAATGCTATGACCGCAGCTCTTTCTCCTCCCCTAGGTATATTACATTTTGACAAGCGATCGATAGCTTAGCTTTGGGTCAAATCCTTTTGGAAATAGGTGGGTGATTTTCTGGATATCAGCCAAAGGACAAACAGGTAGTTAAATATTGGCTCATGATAAACAATAAAAAAACCAAACCAAGCCATTGCAGTGACGCTAGGGGACGGAGGTGGTCAGTGCAGAGGCACACTGCTGGCCCTGGAGTACCAGCCAGGACTTAAGCACCGCACCACCACTGTGCCTTTTGGTTCCTGCCACTTGCCCTTTTTAATATAAAGAAGGAATATTTCATCACTTGTCTGTAGTGTTGTTAAAGGCTTTACCTCTGAAACTTAAACTGTAGACATTTGTAAGATTGGAATTCCAGCTAATTGGGAGTAGGAAGCGCTTCTGAAAGATGTATTGATATGTTCCTTTTCTTCTTGTGGTGATAACAGTTCATCAAGCATTGCCATTAATTTAAGAATTATTTTCATCAGGTGTATAAAAGGACTGCGATGAAACGTTAATGCTTGGCAGTCTTATATGAGGTCTAGCAAAATTGTTTTATTCCGATGTGGTTTTACATGTTAAACACATCTATGTTTTATATGACTTTCCATATGATGAATTTGAGGCATTGGCATATGTAACAGTGCTGAAGTGGCATTCATACATCTGTACCAGTGGTTCTCGGTTGGCTGCTTTTGAGCCTCAGGGCCTTTGGCAGAGCTCCGATCATGGAGAGGGTCCCTGGTGGACTACTAACAAGGCTGGCAGTTCCAAATCACGAGCTGTTCGGCAGGAGAAAGTCGAAGCTTTCTACTCCCATAAAGATTTACAGCTTTGGAAATCCACAGGGGCAGTTCTACCCTCCCCTCTAGAGTGACTTATGCATTAGAAGTGACTCGATGGCAGTAAGTCTGGGTTTGGGTTGATACGGTTGCTATGAGTCAGAATTGACTCCATCAGTGGGTTTTGGGGAGAAACAGTTTGGGTTGTTAGGACTTGGGTGGGAGACGTGTGTACTAGTGTCATCTTGCGGTAGCGTCAAGGTTCAGCTAAATATCCTACAATACACACCACAGCCTCCAGCCCACGGTACAGAGGAACCTCGACTCTATGCCTGTAAATATTTTAATAAACACACGTATCTTACTTTAAAACTATAACTTTAAACCTGCTTAGAGGGATTTTTATCACAGACTCCAGAACCCCGGTGGCAGAGTGGGTTATGTGTTCGACTGCTAATCGCAAGGCAGCAGTTTGAAACCTACCAGGTATTCCGAGGGAGAAAGGTGACATGCCGCGTCATCTGTTTGCTGTCTACTCCCCCAAAGACTTAAAGACTCAGAACCCCAAAGGAGCAGTTGTATTCTGACCTGTGACCGTGAGGGAGTTTGGATTGTGTACTTCGGTTTTGTGACTTCATGGTGCTCATTCTCTGTCCTCTTCCTTAGTGATCAGGCATTAGACAGTCAAACCAAACCACCAAACCATCGCCATCGAGGGGATGCAGACTCTTGGCGGCCCCATTTGTGTCAGAATTGAACTTGCCCTTGAGGTTTTCAGTGGTCATCTTGTGGAAGTGGTTTGCCAGGTCTTTGTTTCAAGGCCCCAGGGGGTAAACTCTTAACTCTCATCCTAAATCATTTGTACCCCCCAGGGCTTCTCTAGATAGTAAAACTTCCTGAAGTCACTAGTCACTTTATAACTTGCCTAGAAATTCAGTAGAGCAATACTAGCTTTAATTTTTACTATGATCCCTGTAAACATTATCCTGACTTAAAGAAAGAGAAAAATGTGTTTGTAAAAACTCTGGAAAATAGTTTTTTTTACAAATCATTTGTGCTTAGAGTTTGTACCAATAACTTCACTCTTTGTTGTTGTAGAAGCTTATTAAACTTACCTCTGTAACTGATGCAAGGCTCATAATGTATCTTGAATTCTAGTTCGAGGACAGAAGCTTAAATCACTGAATACTAGGGGGAAATCCTAAGAGTAGTGTTATGCATTTATCCATGTTTTTCTGTTTTTTTCAATTCCCATTTTAATAGATGGCAGGGAGAGGGAACTTAACTTTTAGGATCTAAGTCAGCAATTGGAACCCAGCAGCCTCTTAGGATATACACCCTCTAAACTACTTTATACTTTTCTGTCTTTTTATTCACTGACAAACAATAATGATGACTTTCATTTCCCCGGCTGCCTCAGCGTATAATTCATTCTTAAGTAATGTAATATAATAGCTCAATAACCACTTCCCAAAGCGTCTTCAAATGCTAGCTTGGAAACAGCAGAACTCTTTGAGACCAGGCATCTTTAACGCATGTTATCTATCACACAAAGAATGGACTTGGTCTTAGTAGGAATATTTAATGTGTAGCTGAGAATTTAGTATTTAGTGAAAAACATCTTTAACGCATGTTATCTATCACACAAAGAATGGACTTGGTCTTAGTAGGAATATTGACCGTGTAGCTGAGAATTTAGCATTTAGTGAAAAGGAGTGATACAACCACCCCAAAACGTTATCAGGGAGCCAAGACAGCCCTTGGATGACCGGCAAGTTTGGGTTCCATGTGGACAGTTCCTAAAGTGTGTGCAGCAACCGGATTGCTTCTTTAGAGGAATCCGAAGGCGTGAGTAGGCGCTTCCTATTTAGGAGTTATTTTACCACCACCCCGCCCCCACTGGTCGTATGTTCTCACACTAGCTGGGTGAAGGTTTGCGGCAAATACATGTTAAGTGTTTTCATAGCAGCAGAGCTTCTTCATCAGCATTCAGTGCTACTGGAGTTAAGTCTAATTATAGCGATGCTAATTCCTTTCCAGCAGCTCATCAAAGGCAGCGCCAGGGAAAGAGCGTTTCACCATCATGCAGTTACACAACCCAGCAGTGCCCAGTCGTAGTGAAAAGAGGGTGGGTGATCGAGGGAGTTGGGGTGTGGGTGGGAAACACAGGCAGTGGGACGAATTGGGAGAGGGAGACAGATTCCGAGCAAGAGTTGCTTTTGTCAACTCAAGTGTCACCCAGCTCTGCCTGTGTGGCCCGGCTCCAGATCTGCTGGCAAGGAGTGCTGGGGATGAGAGCCGTGTACTTGGTTCACGGGGAGCAGAGTGCGGGCTACCATCAAAGACCGCGGCGCAGAGGGATTAGCCAGCTGTATTTACCACCGAGCAAGCCTTGTCCTGCTATTTCTTGGCCGGAGATCTACAGAGTGATCCTGTTTTGAGTTTCAATCCTTTGTTGGTGTGCAACAAGGAGGGAAAGTGTTTGCCTCGACAGGGTTGACTGCTAGATTTTCCCTCTGATCTAAGGTGTCCACGTCGACTCCTTGGGGAAACATTTTTGCTAGTAACTTCACTGAATGAAATGTGGTGTTTTAATAAAGAGTACATTGGAAAGAGTTCTACTACAGATGAAAACTTGTACCGTGTAGATCTGCTTTTGGTGCTGGGCTGAAATGTTGACGGGTCTCTAATTTTTTCTCAGCTGCTGAGATAGTTGGTGCTAGTAAGCATTGGGCTGCTAATTAAGAAGTCGATGGTTTGAACCTACTAGCTGCTCCTGAGATAAAGATGAGGCTGTCTACTGCCATAAAGATTTACACTTTTGGAAACTCAAACGGGCAGTTCTACTCTGTCCTTTCTGTAGGGTCACTGTGAGTTGACTTGATGGCAGTGGTTTGGGTGTTGGTTTGGGCTGAGAAGTATAAAATGAACCAGCTACCTTGTTGGCGGAAAATATGGCTTGCATTTTCAAAGATCCTTGCTTCCTAGAAAGAGTGTCTGTTATCTCTTCACACATTGGGCTGCACAGAATAACTATCATTTCTCTCACTTCTGAGCTGTTTTTATATTAAGGCAAAATACAGCAAAGCACGAAGCTTTTCAAGAAAGACCAATGAAAACATAGCTATTTAGAGGTAGTTTTAAATGGCCAATTTAAAAAAAATGACACTCGGAACCCAATACATTGTCTTATGCCCTATACCGAGAATGCAATTTCTAAGTTATATCTAATTGGCAAATGAGCATTTGAAAATACAACCTGAAAACCAGACTGGAGCAATCGGGTGGCTCTGTCAGGTTTCAGAATATGACAGTGGAAGGTAAAAAATCAGAACTTGCTTTTCTGATTTGTGAGGATAAAAGAGACCTGATACACTTAGAAGAAAAATGAAATATGATAAATATATATGGTTTATCAAATAACATTGGGATTTTAGCTTCTAAATATTTCGGACAAATTAAGCTTTCTTCCAAAGTGCCTGTTGCCTTTCAGCAATGACCTTGGTCTGTTGTGTGTGCTGTCGAGTTGGTTCGGACCCCTGGTGGTCCTCTAGGAGGGTAGAACTGTGCCAGGGGCTCCCCAGGCCAGAACCGTCCCCGAGGCGGACCGCCATGTCTTTCCTATGGAGCTGCTGGTGGTTTAATGGCTGACCTTCCAGCCGAGACCTTAGCCACTTCGTCACCCCAAACCAAAACCAAACCCACTGTCATCGATTCGAATCCAGCCGAGAGTGACCTATACAGAGTGTCCTAGGCTTTTATTTCTGTAAAGACTTAAGTGTCAGAAACCCACAGAGGCGGCGCTGCTCTGTGCTCTGTAGGGGCACTGTGAGGCGGATTCAATTCGATGGCAGTGAGTTTGAGATTTGGAAAATCTTAATAGGATCAGACTCATCTTTCTCCCTCAAAGCGGCTGGTGTGTTTGAACCGCCAAGCTTGTGGTTAGTAGTGCAATGCTTAACCATTAACACCAGCAGAACCACTACCGGGTCTCCCCAATATGTATAACATACAGCATATGTTAGCGTTAGGTCGTAGCTCCTGAATATCATTTGTTTACTGAAATAATGGTGAAATCACTGGTTGAAAATCTATAGCATTCATTTATATTAAGCCAACTTTGGAAAGTATTTCAGTTCATGGGTGGATTATTTTACTTAAGTCTCTGTCCTTTATATGTGACAAGAGATATTTATCTTTGTGAATGAATGTCATTTTCCTGTTTTCCAGTTTTAGAGAGAGCATTTTCCCTCCATAAAGGGCATTCCGTAAAGGATATGGAAACTACTTTTCAGCTGGTGCGAAATATTATACCTCCTCTAACTACCAAAAAGCACAAAGGACAAGATGGAAGAATAGGCATAATTGGAGGCTGTCAAGAGTAAGTGACAAATGAGGAATGTTAGTATTTTCTGTATCATCTGCCTTTGTATGTGTATGCACAGGTATGTATGTACCTATTCACCTACCTACCTGTCTCTCGAGTTTAATCCTAGTAATCATTTCTAAATATTTTGATATTATGGCACCCAATATTTTATACATCTCTGTAGTTACCAGGCGTCATACGGTAAGCATATACTACTTTTATAATCAGGATAAAGATGCTCAACACCTAGTTACCAGATGAATTTGAAGATATTCCTAGAGGTTATTGAATTTGACAGAGCTTTGCTTCCTTCGGGTCCCGCTTTACTTTCTGCATTTCTATCCTCCGCTGCTGTGTTCTGTTCCGTGTACAGAGGGATTTTCCCTTTGCCCTGTTTGTCCTAGTAGCACTGTCATTTACTTATGTTCTATTTTAATTACCATTTCTGTTTTCGCATACTTTTAGTTCACACTTATGGCCTAGCTCTTTGCCTATCCTTGTACTCTCAATTGTTTTTCACGAGGTTAAGGCAGCCCTGAGTGACAAATTGTTACAACGCTGTACTCCGACTAACAGAAAGTTCATGGTTTAAGCCCACTGAGAGATGCGTTGGAAGACAGGCCTGGGGTTCTGTTTCTAAAAGGTCACGCGGCCTTGGAACCCTGTGGAGCAGTCCCCTCTGCACACATGGGCTTTCAATGAATTGGAACTGACTTGAGGGCAACAGACAACAGTATATTAAGGTGTACTTATTAAAGTATATTTCTTATAAGTAATATGGTATATGTATTGTAAGTAACGTATATTTATTATAAGTAATATGTAGCTGGATTTCCTTTCTTAACCCAATCTTATGCTCCTTTCTAATAGGAGGAATGAGTCTGTTCATATTTATCATCTATGTGATAATACTTTCTAAGATTTATTATTTTTACTCTTTATTTTACTTTGCTTTTCCATTTTTAATTTTTGAAAATTATTTTGCAAATTCTATTTTTCTTTCAAATACAGCAAATGGCTTCCCTCTCTTTTTGAAATTAATAGTAGTGTGTGTGAATGCCTTCCCCTTCTAACTATTATAATTAAGTCAAATCCATAAAGCAATGGGGAGAGGCGGAGAATGTTCATTTTCAGTGGCCCTTCTTCCCACGGTGCCTCCAGAAAGTCGAGAGACCTCTAGACCGCGTCGAGTCCCCACTCCGCTCTTTTTGGTGTTATGCTGTCTGAGTTACATGGAGAATGTTTAGCTGAGCTCATAGCTATTGAGTTTAACGTTGTGCCTTGCGAGATATATTGCTATTTGTTTTCCCTTCTTGCCTGGGTAGGAGTACTTTGAGTTTTTCGGTACTAAATTCTTTGAGCAGTGTATGTGGATGGTCTGCTGCCTGCACCACTGCAGATGTACTGTGAGGGGGCTTCAGAAAGTTCATGGGAAAATTGCATTAGCTTTTCATTTCATGATTCCACGAACTTTTTGAAGCCCCTTCATCTGCCTTGACTGACTATAGAATTTGGGAGTAGTTAGATGTGTCAGTTGGGGTAGACGAGAGAAACAAATTCATAGAGACTCATGTATATAAGAAAGAGCTTTATATAGAAGAGCAATTGAATATTGAGAAAACATCCCAGCCCAGTCCAGATCAAGTCCGTAAGTCCAATATTAGCCCATATGTCC